AGCATTCTTAGCAAGATATTTGATCTTATATATGCTTATCTACTACATTCATACAATCTACCACATCTATCTTAGGTGCTCTTCACATTTACATATATTTTGGAAAGTTTCATTGATCTAGGCAGCAAACAATCAAACATCTAGACACAGAAAAGCCAGTTCAGTCGCATAAAAGAGACCAAAAAAACTGTGTCATCTGCAAAGAAAGTGAATGGAATGCTTTAGTCTGTGGGTTTATTCTCTCTTCTGTTTATGTAGCTTTATTTATTCACTATATTGGGACTACTCTACTCCTCTCCAATGCTCTTTGCGTTTTAGATGGTTTCCCAGCATATTTAAAAACAGTCAGTTTTGTGACATCTCAAATTGCTCTTGGTTTTATACTTTGGGGAATCCAGAGCAAACATCAATAGATTTATCAAGAAACTCTCTTGAGAGCTAAGAAAGTCTGCTGGGGCAGACTGTATTTATGTAAGATATGTTCAAGTTATTCCTAGATGTCTGAGAAATTCTGAATCTTGGAGGGACTCAAAGGAATCATACTGAATTTGATGAAACTTCTGAAGCATATCTAATGCATAAATACTTGATATGTTGCCCTTCTACAGTATTTGGATAAGATTTTGCATAAATGTAAAGATTCCAAAATAATTCCCCTTCCTATGCAGTGCCTGGTATAAACTTCTTCGTAAGACAGGGAGATGGTTAGTGCCAGGTTTCCCTCCAGTGTGCAGTGCCATAACATTTGAATAATGTCACCTGGAATAAAGGCTATATATAATGAACCCCACTTCTTATGCAATCTGTAGAACAGTGGTTCTCAACCTCTTTAATGCTGCGACCCCCAACCGGTCGTAAGTCGAAGACTACTCAACTGGTGTAGCACCGTTTGCAGAATGGGACTTTTGGCGGGCTCAGCAGGGCAGAGACAGCCTGGACAATTCCTATTGGCTTTTGAAAGCCAATAGAATTAGACTCTATTCAAGAGAGTCTATTCTATTGGCTTTCAAAAGCCAATAGAATAAAAGGGAGTAGCACAGCTAAGGAAAAGGGGAAAAAAATGCGGGCTGCGTTGTTTGGGGACCCCCGTGAAATGGTCGTTCGACCCCAAATGGGGTCCTGACCCACAGGTTGAGAACCACTGCTGTAGAACCTTTTTTGATTACCAGTGCAATCTTCCAATGATCAAACTCACTATTATGGGAAATGCTTGTTGCAAAAACTGCCAGAAGTCTGGCAGAATTCAGAAGTCTTCAGCTATATTCTTTCTAGGCTTGTGAGGTCTATCCAAGCGATTTTGACATCATGGCAGCCCAGTTTATCTTGTGATGATCCAGAGAATGCTTTGCAATTTGGCTGGATAAACATGAAAACCAAAGTTCTACTCTCATACTGTAATTACCCAGTCTAGAAAAAACATAAATGGGGAATGGCACATATTGGTTTTTTGTTTATGCTTATTAGGATGGGAATGAAATGAAATTCACAGAAAAACTGCATCATTATGAAGAGATGAAGCATATACTGTAAAAGATCATAGAAAGATGCAAGAATTATCAAGTTTGGTTGTATTATGTTTTTTTTATGTAGCTGCTTTGTTTTATTTTTTTACATACTATAATTTACTTATTTTATTTACTTTTAATATTGTTAGCCACCCATTTATGTATTTGAAATGAACAGCCATATAAACTGTTTATTTTTTTTAAAAATATATAAAATTAAGATACACAACGTATGCTTATACAAACTATGCATACTTCAATATTTCCAAAGAACCCAGTAATATTGTCTTTCCTGAATACTGTGTTGAAGTGCTACCTAGCCATCTTTGAACTGGCATAGAATACCAGTTTAAATCTTGCTGTCCTCATTGCCAATCTTGGCTTTGGGCCATCTCCTTCTAGCACGACCCCAGCAAGCAGGGAATGCATCTACCAACTGGGATACTATGTCACGAATGAGAAAATCCTGACTTTGGGAGTTTCTCAGATCCTCCTTCCATGTCTCTCTTGACTACTCCCAACTTAAAATATGGGTAGATACAAGGTAGATATAGTTGTATTATTCAATTTATCCCTGGGTCCTGTAACCAGGAAAAACTAGAATGGATTAGTTATTGGGTAATAAAGTCTCTTATCTCAAGAAAAGGAGAAAGAAGTGACTGAAAATATTCACTCTTGGTTGTGTTAGTGATTTGGGCTTGCTGTTTCTTGGGTGCTTTATATTTTAATTGTTGTAATGATATAACTGTTTTTATGTTATTTAAGTTCTGTTCACTGCTCAGAATCACTCCACAGCTGGCACACAATCTCAGACAAAAATCCCTTTAGTTTAAAAGTTCTAAACAAATTCCGTACTTTTACTATCAGTTATTCTTCTTTGATGTGCTCTATAGCCCAACATATGAATTATATAAATACAACTTTATTTACAGGGTCAAAATAGGATAAGAAAGATAATGCTAATCAGACGGGTGAAAGACATCTACATTAATTCATAAAGCTTTGGTCTGATAGTTTTAATTGTAGTCCAATTTCTACATATGTTCAAGAAGTCACCAAATTAGAAATTAATCATGTAAGTAGTCCTCGATTTACAGCCACAATTGAGTGCAAAATTTTTATTGCTAAGTGAGGCAATTGTTAAATGATTTTTGTCCCATTTTACCACCTTTTTGCCACAGTTGTTAAAGCAAATCACTACAGTTAAGTGAATTATGCAGTCATTCAGCAATCTGGCTTCCCCCATTGTCTTTAAATGTTGGAAGCTGGCCTGGGAAGGTTACAAATGGTGATCACATGACCCCAGAACTAGTGCAATTATTAGAAATACATGCCAGTGGCCAAGCACCCAAAGTTTGATCATGTGACTGTGGGGAATGTGGCAACGGTCTTAAGTATGAAAACCAGTCCTAACTCACATTTTCAATGCTGTTGTAATTTCAAACTGTCATTAAACAAATGGTTGTAAGTCAAGGACTTTGTTTAACCACCCAACCTAAGCTGGAAAAACTTTGCTGACTCTCACATGCAGTTATTGATTTGCAAATGACACAATCTCCAGCTACAGCTTGAATTTATATTTAAAGTCAAGCTCAGACTGAAGAGGGATGGGTCTGTGCAGGGACTGAAGAGATACACCCACTCCAATCATTTCTTAGAGATGCTTGAGAGAAACTGGGTGACCATGTGATGGGAATGGAGTACCCATGAACAGACATCTCCTCAAACCTCATCTCTCCTCACTCCTATGATTTCTACCCATCCTCTCCATCCCAAAGCATGTACTCTAAAGAAAGACTGTGTATTCCTTGTGTGTTCTGACTGATTCTCTTATTCCCGAACTACTTCATTAAAGCCTCAAAGGTGCTTTTTCAAAATTCAACTGTACTTTCTTTTTCCTCGAAGACATTTCACTTCTCATCCAAGAAGCTTCTTCAGTTCTGAAACTTCTTGAATGAGAAGGGAAACATCTTCAAGGAAATATAAAGAAAGTCCAGCTCCCTTTTGAAAAAGCACCTTTGGGACAACCACGAACTGGATGATTAAAAATCTCCACAGATATTCTTCACTAAAGCAAATTTCTTAAGCATCTAAATTTTACACTGTTTTTCCTCTTTGTGGTGCAGATTACTCCAAATTTAAATGGAAGGAAGATGAAGAGGAGACATTTCCCTCCTGCCCACAAGAAATAACAATAAACAGAGGGGAAAGGGACAGAAGCTTTCAAAAGCTTTCCCTGGCCAATTTCAGTTTCTCCTCCTCTCCAACCCCCATAAAAGTGTGTATGTGATACATCTGCAACAGACTTTTGTTCCTTAGGCAGAATTTGGATTTTTTTTTTTTATGGTGAAGAGATTCTATACATGTCATGATGAAAAACAACCCTAATTAAATAAGGGCAGAGATCGGATTCTTCCGAGCTTAGCTACACCTACAGTACAACAAGATGCTAAGGAAACTGCTCCCCATTTTCTCCCAACCAACATTGGGGCTTATCTTATTGACGACGGAACAAGACACTCACCCAGCAGCGCCGGCTCTTAGAAACGGTAGGATCCGCCTTTCGCTGTGATCGTCTGCTGACATCACCATAGCGGACGTTGCTAGAAACCAACCAAAGCCGTTTCCACGATTTAAGGGACTATTAATAATTTTCAAACCTTTGATTAACAAAAAAATCAGTCATGTGACTGCGCTGTTCGGATTCAAGGTTGGACTGCAAAACATTGAAGTAGGGAGAGGCTAAAAGGCTATTCCTTGCATGATCTCGGGTGCGGGATTAAGACGCGGTGTCATTTTATCTATTTATTCTGTAACGTTTTGGGACGTCACAAGAGTGCTGTACGTTTGCTCAAACAATTTGGGGAATAACTTCAGTGCTAGCTTTTCATTGCTTGTAAAGAGGCGCGTGGAATTTCGGGTTGTTTTACAAGCATCCTTGCCTTGTTACCTTTGAGCACCATCACAACAGCAAAAGGAGAAATTCTATGTGCAGAATGTTTTCCCACTATATGCCGTTTCAATGCGCATGAAACCATTCTATCTATCTATCGTTATGTTGGCACATAATCAACGCCCGTGGGTTTCTGATCACCCCCATCCGATTTACATTGTACAGCAATTATTGGGGGAAAAGGTAAAAAGGCGATTAATTGTCGCAAATGCATTGCATTACCTAGGGTCATTTCCCCGCCTCTATTAACTAAATGGATAAACCCGGTTCCAGTTATGAAAACAAAACTCATAAAAAGGGCCTTTGAACACCGGCAGTTCTACTTCAACCGAAATCAACTTGTTTTAACCTGTTTGAAAGTTTGATTAAATGGTAGAAAGAGCAGCATTCTATTAAATGAGTATTAGGAAAGAAAAGTTGAAAGAAAAAAAACCCCGCATATTCTCCCCCCACCCCCAAATCAATAAGTAATTATTCGATGCTGCAATCAGCATTCATTTTTTAAATTCTCCTCAATTTCACTCCATTGTCCGCGCTGCAACCGCCGGCTATCGTGAAATTGCTGTAAAGAAACTGGCCGGATGTGGCGTCAGCAAAGACAGAGGGTAAAGTGCGAGCGGGCAAGTGTGGGCGCAATGGCTGCAGTGGATTGCATTCTGAAATTAGGAGGTAGTGCATTGACGCAGAAAAGCCAGCTGGAGACGCTGAAAACGGAGTCCTTGCGGAGGGCGGCTATTCTTGTTTCGAAGCTCTGGGAGGCCGGAGAAAGACGTTGCATAATCGTGCACGGCGCAGGGTAGGAACTCGTGCGAAGTAGCGGAAGGCTTCTGCCCCTGAGCCAGGATGCCGAATGGGCGCCATCGGGCCCTCCTGCGTCTCGGGATAAATTGGACCTCAGTTTCCATCTTTCCCAAACAATTTAATGCCAATGCTGGCTGTCAGCTGAAGTCCCACACATCTAGAGGGGGTATCAAGTTAGGGAAGATTGTGGAGGGCGATTGCACTATGTTTAAATTTGCACCGACAGCAAATACATCTTGTAACGCAGTCATGCATATTTTTATTTGGAAGGAAATCCCCACTTTCCCCAATGAATCGTATTCCTGGGATTGCACCAAGAGAATGCACTTTAGCTGCGTTTTAATGAGTTTTTCTGATAAACGTGCATGGAATCGAACTACGCATCATATATAGTGGCATCACGGTTTAAGAAAAGAATATACCGTACATTTTAAAGAAATATGACAAAGATTTTTTTAAAAGAAACCTTTCCTAGCTTACTAATTTTATGTTTTTTCACAATACAGTAAGTCTTGTTAATATTAAAGGATCAAACAGTAGAAAATAAAGGGAGAAAAAGCTGAATTATATAGATTTCAGAAAGTAGCAAACCAAGTTAAGAAACAAATGTGAGACCATCCATTCAAATCTATGCACACTTTTTTATAAATAAGTCCTCAACATGACTCCCCAAAATGGAATAATTTAGGGATACAGTGTTAGGCCTAAATAATTTAGGGATACAGTGTTAGGGAATAGCTCCTATTGGATACATTAATTAGGTTTACAGACTATTTTAGATCAGTTTGGTTAACCCTGGTTTATTGAAGAACCCACAAAGAGCTAGATTCAGAGAAGATGTTTATTAAACAATTTATGTGGCCACCCAATTGGCACACAGTGATGTTGGGCGGTGTACAGAAATAAAAACCCACAAACCTTAATCAGGGCAGGGCATGGATAGCATGTCAAGCCAAGCAATCAAAGCAGGGTTACTAGCCAGTTGCATTAATGTATCCAATATAGAATATAGAAAAAACAATTGCTGTTGAATAGTTTCTCATTACAATTATGGGAAAGATTAATATACTGATATTTCATAATTTAATGTATTATAATTAATAAGCTAAACTGAAGATTTTATTTTTGAATTGGTCTAGTCCACAGGTCGGCAACCTGCGGCTCCGGAGCCGCATGCGGCTCTTTGAGCCTTCCCCTGTGGCTCCCAGCCTCCTCTGCCTTTGCAGAGAGAGGCAATTGCACTTCCCTGTGTGTGTGTGTGTGTAAAAGAGAGTGCACTCACAGTGTTCTCCGAGGAGCTGAAAAGCTTTCTGGGCGGAGCTCCTCCCTTTGCTGCGTCTCTGAAGGAAGCAGGAAGGGCAGGAGAGAGCTAGCTAGCCCAGCTAGGCTGACTCAGGAATTCTGGGAGTTGAAGTCCATGAGTCATAAAAGAGACAGGTTGCCTACCCTGGAGGTTGTTGGACAACAGCTTGAAGCTTGCCAGGTGAGCAGCAGATAGGAGGGGGGGGGGGAGAAAGAGAGAGAGAGGGAGAGAGAGAGAGTGGGGGAAGAGGAGTGGCAGATCAAGGGCAGATAGAGAGGGAGGGAGAGAGAGAGACCCTTTTGACATCTAAAATGAAGATAACACTGCATATATCCTTTTTTTACCTTTGTGTGTATGTAATTTTATTCTCTTAAAGCATTCTCTTGGTGATCATTGTTTTAATAGTATGGATATTCCCAAGAGTCATATTTTTACTTTTATTTTTAATGTGTATATGTGTGTATGTGTGTGTGTGTGTGTGTACACACACACACACATATACACATACACACACACACACACACACACATACACACATCTATAATAAAGGTAAAAAAGGATATATATGCAGTGTTATCTTCATTTTAGATGTCAAAAGGGTTTTGCGGCTCCCAGTGTTTTGTTTTTGGTGGGAAATGGGTCCAAGTGGCTCTTTGAGTGTTTTGGGTTGCCTACCCCTGGTCTAGTCTTATCAAATAACCCTAATGAAGGTTCAAGCCTCTAATAGAACAATTTCTCAGGTGACTCTGGCTAGAAGTTTTTTGTTTTCTTGCCAATAAATTGCTGCAAGAGACATGAAACAAGCTATATTGTACATATAAACATATGAACATTTGTTCCACATCCTCTGACTGATATCCTATTTATTTAATAAAAAACTGTACCATATGTTTGAAGTGAAAGCAAATATTTATCATAGCAAACAAAGAATTGAGTGAAAGCTCCTTGGTTTTGGCCTTTCAAGTACCTCATAGTGGAGTATTTTGTGGATATTTCCTGAGAGATAAATATTTATTTTAGAGGCAGTTGCATAAAGAGAATTGAGATGCCTCTTCATTGCCATCTTGCCCTTTTGCATATCAGGTGCACTTTCCGAGTTCTAAAAATCTCGTCAATGGAGAAGAGGAGGAAAGTCACTCCGGTACTATTGAGACAGCAGGAGAAGAACTGCTGAAAATTAGGCAACGGCATGAAGATTTTGTCAGGCACAATGGATCCAAGGCCCAGAAGAAATAGCTCCATGCCCAGGTAGGGCAGGCAGAGGATAGTTATACTCCTGACCATGCATTAAGATGTCACATCTGGGGCCAGAGCTGGCACCTGCACCAATGTCTCTGCCATGTTTCTTCTTGCTATAAATTTAGAGGGGAAAGTGCAGCTATAAACCTGTATAGAACAGGCAGTGGTAAGGCTGCACTCAGTGTCCACGTTTGGAGCAAACAAATCCATCGTTTTGACAGTGGTGGCGGCCATGATAGACCTTGATGCAAGGCTAGGAATGCAGTTGGTTTTTGGCCTGCAATGCCTAGGAAGAGAGCTTCATGTTAGTGACCCAAGTGAAGATTCATAATGTGTGTTCGTGATTACTGTACCAGGAAGCTGACCAGCTTCTGTGCCTCACTCTCCTGTTGGTTACATGTGGGCTGCAGAACATGACATATGTTTTCAACTATAGTTTAGCAACTTTGTTTTTAAATGTTCCTTTGCAGAATTTATTTCTCTCTGATATGTCTCAAAATAACTTCATTTTCTGAGTCATTGAGTTAAAAAATGATGTCTCCCTATCTTCTCAGCTTGGTGTGGTAGTGAAAATATAAGAATATGTTAAATAACATTCTTAAAATGTATAATCCTGTCAAATGACAAATGGAGTCTGCTTGTTATTGTGTGGTATTGCAACTAAATGAAATAAATGGATGTTTCAGATATTTTAAGTTATATTTAGCATATGATCTGTTTGTTTACTGGCCTTGAGTTTCCTCCTATTGAAATTTATTTGAATAAACCATACAAAGTGGTGGATTATCTGGTATTTTGTTCCTTATTTTATGGCACAGGATTAATGGCAGCAAAGCTCCTGAAATGAAAGAATTAACCTGAGACCTTTATAGGTCTGCAAATTATGCCCTATAATCCCAGAATCAATTGACATGGAAAGTAAGAAGTTGGTGTCTGTTGGTGTCAAATTCAAGTAGCCATTCCAAGCTTGAGCTGGGTGGGATCGTAACAAAGATATTGATGGCATTTAACTCTACAGAACTACAGAAGGTTAGGCAGGTTTAGATCAGGACTTGGGTCAATAAATTGAAACTAAATGAAACGGATATCAGCCAATAAGGCAAAAAGAAGAATTGAAGCTTTTTATAGGTTGTCCTTAAATATATTTATTTGAAGGAATGTCTGTTGTCTAACAAATATATTTATGAAATAGCTTTGATGAAGTAAATTAATTATTCCTTTATCCAGATATGTTGAAACCTGATCAAGAAGTAAAGACAGTTTGGTTTATCCAAAGTGCATCATTGAGATTGTCCTTGACAATGGAAAATACTCTGAAATTAATTAAGAATCATTACATACCTTTAAATAAATATCTTTCTGACATCCTGGAAGACTTGGTCAAGAGACAGAGACTGAATCCTGGTAAGATTGGTGGATGGCAACTTCCAGATTTGGGAAATAGGTAACTCTTTTTTTGAAGGATCAGATACAGATGTTACTGAATTCTAACACCATAAAGTCCTAACTGGCATGGGCAATGGGAAGTAGAAAGTTATTATGGAAAATGTTATGTAATAACATCTAGAAGATCACATTTATCTACCTGTCTCTATTCCTCTGGCCGTATTACAGTTCAAGGACATGTTATAGATTGTTTTCTTGTCATTTGACAATTCTGTTATTGACATTGCCACTTGACAGTGCCCAATTATGTTGGGTTAAGAAAATCTGTGTGGTTGCTAAGAGTTGATGGTGACTTGATGGCACACAATCATCAAAAGCCTTGCCCAAGCATTATGAACCTAGAGTACCTGCTATGAGAAAAATTCAGATAATTTCCTTACTCCCTTCCTTGCCAACAGTCACCCTAATGAGATCATCTTCTTTCCTGTAGGAAAGAAACAGTTTGATATGATCCAGGCCCCTGATATTGCAGAGTTTTGACCTCTGAGTGAGTAAGTGTACAAACACATATGTATAACACATTTCTTGAAATGTTACACATACAAGTAACTACAGGATGTGGCCTGACCTTTTTATACAGGACTAAATAAATAGCCTTAGTAGTCAAGTCTTGAAATGGCCATCAAGAAAGAGTATTTCCTTCCTTCCTTCCTTCCTTCCTTCCTTCCTTCCTTCCTTCCTTCCTTCCTTCCTTCCTTCCTTCCTTCCTTCCTTCCTTCCTTCCTAAGCTTATGAATATGAAAAGAAAACTGTTACCTGGAATATATTATCAACTGTTCATGTTTTGTCTTGTTCTTAGGTAAATTGGTAACTTTTTTTAATAGGGTAAAATATGAAGTCTGAAATTCCCAGTTGAAAATCTGGAATTTTATATGATGGTTTAAAGAATAGGCATATGGATAAGATTTCCCTGAGAAATTATATCCATTAGTTATCCAATATCCAGCTTTTTCTTGCTTATTATGGCATAATCTTTTATAGATAGCCTCCATCATGTCAGAGTATTGACCTAAAGATACTTTGTTTTAATAAGAGTGAAGTTCCATTTCCAGCAGGTGGCAGCAGTTGTCATCTTTGGTAAAATACATTGCTGTTATTTCAGCAGAAAGATGGAAGAAAAGGACAATCACCAGCAAGTGGATAGATTCAGTGGAAGTAATGATGAGGGCAGCATTGGAAGAGCTGAAAGACCAAGTTAGGGACAGAGCAAGGAAAAATATATGGTTGCTAAGAATTGAAAATGATGGCACATGACCATCAAAAGCCCTGCTCTAAACATTATGAACCCAGATTATTTGCTAGTGAGAAAGTCAGATAACTTCTCTACTCCTTCCCTTGCTGTCAGTTACCCTAGTGAAGTCAGGGTAAAAACTGATAATGACCAGGATCCTCATATTGCAAAGTTCTGGTCTCTGATTCATTTGCATATAGCCAAACATGGCTTTCTTTTTATGCACGTTTGCCTTAAACATGCAAATTCTGCAGAGCAATTAGAATTGGTGGGTATTGGAGTTTAATAGAAATGTTCGGTGCTCCACAGACGGTGCATTCCTATGCATGTCAGAAGTAATAAGCATGAATAAATTACAGGCTAAGCAGTAATATCATAGTCTGATAGGAAGGTGATTAAAACTTCGTAAATGTTGGAAAATTCTGTTTACTCCTCTTTGATTCTGGCAGAGTTTTTTAATCATCACTCATGGACTTATTGAGTCAGAATATTCACATTAGCCTCAAAGATCTGAAGGGGTACTGTATTAAGGTGGTTTGAATTTGACCACAACTCCCCAAGTCACAATACATGAATGCTTTAAAAGGTTTGTAGGAACTACAGCATCTAGGAATTACCAGCTACGCTGGCAGTGGATAAGTAGTGGCTGCTAAACCTGGAGAAGAACAAAACTGTGGGTTGTTATTGTTGTTGTTTTTAGCAAGTTGCTCTTCCTGTTGGTTGCATATAGTATCAGTTTTATGTTTCACTCTCACCAGCTTTCTGCCCGCTATCCTGCTGTTTCTCATTTGCTGCTGATTGGCATGGATTAGCTTTGGAAAGAAGAAAGCCAGATGGCAAGGTCTGTAATGAGTGGCATGCTGGTGGCAGGGAATCAGCACAGCATTGCCCGCTGTGATTGGATTACGCTAAGGGTTACTATTTAGCGGGTAGATCAGCACTTGGAATAGAAGCATTTAAGGTGCTGAACTGGAGCCAACAAGAAGATTTCTAGCATGTTAGCTCTTGAGAGAAATGTGCTTTGATGCAAAAGAGCTTAGCTCAACTCTCAGAATGTGCCTCATAAACAGGCGTGAAGATCTTTCAGAAGTTTTCAGAACCAAAGAATGTGGTTCTCAACCTGTGGGTCAGGACCCCATTTGGGGTCGAACGACCATTTCACGGAGGTCGCCAAACAACACAGTCCGCCATTTTTCCCCCCTTCTCTTTAGCTGTGCTACTCCCTTTTATTCTATTGGCTTCTGAAAACCAATAGAATAGACTCTCTTGAATAGAGTCTAATTCTATTGGTTTTCAAAAGCCAATAGGAATTGTCCAGGCTGTCTCTGCCCTGCTGAACCCGCCAAAAGTCCCATTCTGCAAACGGTGCTGCACCAGTTGAGTAGTCCTCGACTTACGACCGGTTGAGTAGTCCTCGACTTACGACCAGTTGGGGGTTGCGGCATTAAAAAGGTTGAGAACCACTGTTCTAACTGGCTTTTGGGCATAGTGTGCAATTAGTACAGCGAGTCAAAAAGTAACTTCCTACACTGCCATGATTCTCTTTGAGATGGTTTTAGCTGTATAAACATAACCAATGAAGTTTGTTAATGGTGAGTTTTATCTAATGTGATGTACAAACCCCAGCCATTTGTGGGTTTGCTAACAAAATATCCACCACTGCATTGTGTGAACCTATTTTGGATGTCATTTTTGGAAATGTGTTCCATTTATTAACTCAAAGTTTAGGGCTGCCCACTCACTATACAACTCTTCTGGTTTTCTCCTGTGCTTCTCAGCCAGCAGCATAGTGTGATATTTTGTCAGGAAATACCTTAGGCTATTTTATTAACTTACTTACATTCTAGAGTTACAAAAATGCCCTGTTCCCGTTACCTGATGTTAGATTAACATCAGGGTAGCATTTAAATACAAGCAATGCATAATAAGGATGGTGAAAAATCCAAGTACAAAATGATTGGCTGTGTTACCTAGGTCTACCCAATGTGAGCTGCAAAAATCCAGCCAACCACTAAGTGGCAGAAAAACCTTACAGAAGTATTCATCCTGTTTTTTCCCCCCCAGTGGTGAATATTAATTTGTACTTTTATGAGCATTCTATTCTTCACTTTATTTTTTCTTTAATTCTTCAAATATTCTTTAATATTTCTTAATGTCCTTTATTCTTAATCTTTCCTTATTCAGTTATGATATAATTATATAATGATTTCATAAATATTTATTAATATTTTAAAAATATTCTTAATAAAAGCAAAATGATGCAGAAAAATCTTGCTATGATCTAGTAGTCATCTGGAATTTGCAGCCCACTTCCACATATGACAATCTAGGTTTGCTTGGTGACTTGCCCTGGGTTCTCATGTTTGTCTAGAAAGGAAATTATATTTGGGTTCTAAAATCAAGGCTGGGTTGCCTTTTTTCAGGACTTTAGTGAAGACATCAAGTTATGAAGTTCAGCTGTTCTGCTAGTCCTTCTCACTTGTGGTTATTTTCATTGCTGGTGCTTTTTACTGAATTTTCCCTTCTGACTTCATCAGAGGTGCAAGGGAGCTCCTGCACTATTACTTTTCAGTCATAAGATAGGATGTGAATGACATAAGTCATTCCAATAGTATAGGTAAATCGATCAATGATAATCACAATTTTCTAACAGGGTAGGAACAGGTCACTTTTTGGTAGGCTCATTTTTTTTTTTTTTGAAAATTGCAAAACAATAGAAAAAAATGGAAGGAGTAAAATAATTCCAGTGGAGTTTGTTTTTCTTTTGGAATAATGATATAAAATATAGTGCTCATATGTTACAATCCTTTATTCCTCAGAAATGTTCCATTAGTTTTTAATCAGAAGAACCTTTTTCTGTATGACAATTTCTGAGCAGTATCAGATTGTCAACTACCATCAACTTTATGCCATGCCTAAATTTATTTAAACACTAGAATTCCACATCGGTTACCAAGAATTGTAGCTGGGTTATTTGGATTTAGCTTCTTGAATCCTTGGAAATGGAAAAGGAGATACAAAAAGGGTGATAAAGATGAATAATAGAATAACAGCTGGAAGGGACCTTAGAGATTTTCTTCCTGCTCAGGCAGGAAACCCTATACCATTTCAGACAAATGGTTATCCAATCTCTTCTTAAAAACCTCCAGTGTTGGAGCACCCACAACTTCTGGAGGCAAGTTGTTCAACTGATTAATTGTTCTGTCAGGAAATTTCTCTTTAGTTCTAGGTTGTTTCTGTCTTTGGTTAGTTTCCATCCATTGCTTCTTGTCCTGCCTTCAGGTTGTTTGGAGAATAGGTTGACCTCCTCTTTTTGTGGCAGATATTTGAATGCTGCAATAACTGAAGACAAGAATAGCAAGCAATATTCCCAGTTTTATTAGGGCTCAAACCTACTTTGTCATCTACTTCCTGCCTCTTGTGTGATGCAATGGTTAAGATGTTGAAGACCCAAGTCCATTTTTATCCATGTTAGCTCATGGGATGATTTTGCACCAGTCACTCAGTCCAGCCTACCTCTCAGGATTATTATGGCGGGGGGAGGGGGAAGAGACATGAGTGCTGTATATGCCACCTTGAGCTCCTGAAGGAAAGGATATAAATTTAACAAATAAGTGAAAAGGCCTGAATTCACTCCTCTGCATTTCCCTAGAAATGTCTAATTCATCAAAGTAGAATCATAACCCTCCAGTTCATTGATGAAGTTGGCTGGAACTGATGGAGGATATCAGTCATCTACATCTGAAGGACTATAGGGTTCCCACTTC